TCCGACGAACTGATAACCTCCTCCTTTTTTGGAAGTCGGTTAAAAAAGGCGTAAATGTTTGTGAATAACCACCTTAACTTTTATTGTCTTACTCTGTTTTTGCCTGAAAAAATTTATGAGTATAAGCGTGGCTTTCTATTATAATATTATCCCTCCGAATTTTCCAGAATGTCACTTTTTTTTTTAATTTAGCCGTGATATTAACATACATTATTTGTTTTGCAGTTAAGAATCGCAAAAGTTATTGATTGAATGACATAAGAATTAACCAAATAAAAGTAATTATTTTGTGTTTTTGGGTGAATCTATAGAGCCTGTCAGACATCGGAATGCAATATATTTCGAAACGGCTATCAAATTGAGAAATTTCACAAAGCAGTTGCATGAGCAGTCACACCTTGCATGTAAAGTGTCTTTCGAAAAAGTTTTTTTTTTATTTCCGAAAGGCGAATTGCTGATTGCTAGTGCAGCACGAGCAAGTGGAAATATACTTCCGAAATCGATTGGCGCTCTCTCGATTGCAGTCACATCTTGCAACTTTTGTTTCTGAAACTGATTTCCAAAATGTGACAGAAAGGTCTTTCTGGCAGTTCACACATCGAAATAAAATTTCTGTTTCTCAATTTGACAGAGAATTGCGTGGACGCTCTTATCATTGCACCATGGTAAGTAAGGCTAAATCGTCACAACACGCGAATAAAGGCGCGCGGTAGTGTTTTGACGGCGAAAGAAGGCGCGTAAAAAAATTTTGCGAAAAAAGATGCTTATGAAAAACTTCGGCGAAGTATGTTAAAAGTGTTTGTTTATTGCTTCAGGAGGTTCAATAATTTCTTTGTTTTTATATTTTGCGGAAATAAGACTCTGAAATATTTCCAGAATGTCACTTTTAGGTGAAAAGGGATTTTTTTATTTAAATAGCTTTTTTCTCCAAAAGTTTTCAAATAGCATAAGTGGGAAGTTGTTGCCGAAGAAAGATTAACAAAAAGCCTGCCTCCCAAGAAAAACTATGACATGAAAACATGAAAAATGTCATGAAGAAGGTGGAAAAAAAATAAACATTCGCTTATCTGATAAAGGAGTTTTAAAGTGATATGCAAAGGTTTAAATACATAAATTTTATGTTAAAAATCAGTACAATGCTCGTCGGTTAATATACTTTTAACTAACAGTTACTAAACTTATTTATTTTGTCAGCTTACTTTTAAAAAAGTGACATTCTGGAAAATATTTTACAAAAATGTAAATTAAGAAAAAAAATCAAATTTAGAAGAGCCTGAAAGCAGTTTCGTATTCTGCACAAATTTTCACGCCAATAAACGTTTTCCAAGGATAAATCTATCAATCTTTAAAAAAAATATATATAAAATTTATCTGCCATGTACACTTTGTTTGGAAATGACCCAGATACATACAAATTTTCATAAAACGATACTTCAATGATAACACAGGGCGAATTTGATTTTGGTGCGGCAAATGTTAAAGCTGTTTTTAATGGACTTTTTTGTGCTGATTACGAATCCGTAAGTACAAAGTTTCCATCAGATCGAGATTTTGAGATAAACGAGGCCAAAGTGTCAAAGAATCGCGTTTTTTACAATATATGAAAAGCTCTAGCAAAGAGACAAAAGGTGATGGAACCTTCCACTTAGGCTTAAATAAAAGCAATAACTCTCGACTGCTAACCCTGAAAATACCATCCCTGCACCTTGACCTTAAGGTTTATTGCATTTAGGGCCGTTTTTACCAACTCTGGTTAATACTAAACCCCAGTTAAACATCGTTACCGACATTAATAACTCCATGCATATTATATTGTATCGGTAACGTTGGTAACGATATTTAACTGGAGATTGGTGTTAAGCGGAGATGGTGAAAACGGCCCTTACTTAGTTATAGATAAAACAGTTTGCAGGAAGTCGTAGTAGCAAACAAAATACGGCGAACGGGACACTGCAGTATATACTAAGTGCATTAAAAATAGCAGTAATAAAGCTGTTCTACACTCGGAGGTTCGCCATTGCCTGCCGAGGGGCGGTCGCTTTTACAAAACTTTTCTTTATGTTGGGTTGGACTGGCCTTGAACCCAGGCCCTTCGTAACCACATTAACTATCATCGATTATAGGTATCATAAACAACAGCTGCTGATTTTTCGTAGTCAACAATGGCGGTGTTGTCAGACGTGGAAAATGTGTAATATCGTAGCATATTTGCGCAGAACTTCTTTCACTATCACTAAATTAACACCAAATTAAAGGTACTAGCTTGTGCTTTCTTAATAATATAAATTTCCTTTGCATTAAGTATTAAATTTTGCTAAACAGTGTTACTTTATGAAAAAATTATTATTCTCTCGTTTTTTGTACTTTTGGATTGAAGATATAAAAAAAGCATATAAATTATGTAGAGCAATTGAAAGATAAACTAATTGTCTTCATTTTGGCATTATTAGTTTTTGAAGCGGTTATGTAGTTCATAATATGTTAATATTTAAAAAAATAAAAAATAAAAATTTATTTAACCTTTTATATCTTCTTTATATTTTTTCGCCAAATAATTTTGGTAGAGTTGAAATCAGCGTGAGAATTTCTATCGAGCCACATTTTTGGTTTTTGCATAGCTAAATGGTTCATATTCCAGACCTATGACCAAACGTTGGTTTTGAACAATATTTTTTTTTTAACGTCTGGCAACATATCAGCTGATTATAGCGGAAAACCAAAATTTAATTGGTCACTATTGCTATGGTTGCGGCTATGACGTTATGGTATGGCTAATGTGACCAACCGTACTTCTTTCGGAAGTACAGTACTTTTTTTCGCTCTTGTACTTCGTACTTCGAAGTACAGTCAAATATACTTCTTTGCGATATTTTGTACTTCTCCGTTCTTCTGGACGATCGTCACATAGGCCTTAGCGATAAATTCGTTCAAACCACTAAAGTCGCCGGGGACCGATGTTGTGCAATTGGCTAGATGCTATTTATGCGAACTGCGTGAGGACCAGGTATGTACATCCCCAAGGGTTGGAGGGTAGTCAGTGTTGCGTTCATCCCGTAGGCGGGTAAAAGCTCTCATGCTAGAGAGCCCTAGAGAACGTGCGGGCTCGGCGTGGTTTTGAATGTTGATTTTGCACTCGTGCCGGTCCGGGCCTGAAAATTTAGGCCGTGCCCATCTCTAGTTGAAACCAACCTAATCAGCTTACTTCGTGACGGAACTGTCGCGGCGGAGTGGGGGAGCGTCTGTTTTCAGTGCAGTCAATAGGAGCACTCCACAAGGTGGTGTTCTCTCTCCTCTGCCCTCGATTGCGGTTGTAAACGAGCTTCTAGAGGAACTGGAAAAAGTGGACTGTCCCTATTTAGATGATGTGGAACTTTTGGTTGAGGGACGATTTCTATCTTTTTGATCTGGCTCAAGGTTACCTGAACCATGTAAATAGGTGGGTGATCAACGGCGGCTGTCATTGAAGCCTAACATTGAGGAAAGTGTAGGAAAGTTGTCGGTTGCCATGTACTACAATGGCGCTTAACATACATATGTTGAGCACGGCGCCTGCAGATATTGCAGACAGAATTGTCGCAGCACGAACTGCTATTAGGCTAAAGGAAAGCGGGTCCTTTTGTGGCATAAAAAGGAAAAGAAGACGTTACATCTCAAGGGCTAGTGATGGGGGTTCTGACAGCCTATGGTGCGATTGGTATTCATGCGGTAAGACTAGGAATTTCTACTGATCCTTTTGTATCAGCTGTCAAGAGGAAGATGAAGTGGAATCATCTCCACACTTTCTTTTAGACTGTCTAACCTTCGCGAGGCATTTCGGCTCGCACTTCTGAACAAACACTGAGCTGCATTCGAAATTTTGTAGTCGGCTCGCGGCGTTAACTTAACCCAACCTAACCTATACTTCTTTGAGCTATGAAATAGTTGGTTACATTAGGTATGGCACCACTAATCGAATGTAGTGTTGCCCATAAGGTTGGTTGGAATAACTGTTTTATATGGTTATGGTTATGTCACTACTAATTTAACCTTTAATTAATCAACCGTCCACGTCAAAATTATACAATTACGTTGGAAACGCAAAAAAAAAAAACAAAATAAAGCCACAGAGCTGCACACTTTGTTTTAGAAAAATATTCGTTCATTATACTCATTAACACATGAAAACAAA